ATACATATACTATATACTTTATGAATCAATAAAAAATTTACAATTTTTAATTATAAACCTGTGTTTTCTGTCAAAATTACTTTTTGCGTGAATTTTGGGACACCCTTTATATATAGATAGATTTAAATAAGTTGCCCACAAAATTCTACTAGTCAAATGGCTTTAAGGCTTCAGGCAATATTTAAGGAAAGATAAGTATCTTTTTCAGAGAATAGAACATAAATCAATCCTTCGGAATTTTAATCATTTTAAGAGGTTAATGTAACGTTGTTATATAGCAGACAAATAAAGTGGGAGAAAAGAAAGTTATAGGTTCTTATACTTGCAGAATATTTAAAATTGAAATTAGCAAATAATTGTGAAACATTATGACCAAGTAGCTTTATTCTCTGTGGAAAGATCTCTTAATATTAGAAATATATATTCAATAAACTCACCACACTAACATATTGAGAAAAATAATGACTATATCCAGAAAGAATATTTCAGAAAATTATTCACACATTTACACACACGTACTCACCAAATACTCACACAATATCTCACTTTAGAAGAGAACAGACTCAATGAGATTTACATGAATCTAAGCAAAACAATAACACCAAGAGGAAACTGTAACAAGTGTCAAGCTTAATGTTATGAACAGTAAAGCATTTTATTTTAGGGCCAGAGTAAGGCAGAATTCTTATTATTCCCATTTTATTCAATAATTTATAATATAAAAATCAGGGAACAGAAATGTAGAACATGTAGGGTTTAGAAGGTAAGACAGAGACCAACTATTGCATAGATCAGGCTTCTGCCTTCAATAACTGGATATTTGATCATGCCATTATTTGATTTCCACAATGTAGAAGACAAATTATACAGATTTATTCTCAAACAATAGAATAAAGATAGGATACTAAAAGAAGTAGTACTCAAAACTATTCTTTTTCTACATACTTTGTGTAGATACAAAAAGAAAGTTACAAAGCGCATCATGAAATTTGTAAGATTTGGGAGTCATGTTTATATGTACAATACTCTGAAAATTGCTACTTGTTATTATCTTTCAGAATGCATCTCTAAATTATAAATAAATATGTAAAATTTAAATACTTCTCTCTATATAAAAGCCTAAGTGACCATTATGACCGGATGACCGGCTGGTAGCTATGATGCACACTAACCTACAGGGGGCAGATGCTCAGTGCAGGAGCTACCCTTGGTGGTCAGTGTGCTCCCATAGACAACCTCCCACTGCTGGCCAACTTCCCACAGTCCCTCCCCCCCATGCAGGCCGGCTCCAATTGCCCGATCGCCAGCTGTGCACAAATTTGTGCACCGGGCCTCTAGTATTACATAAAATGGATCAAAAGTTAAAGTAAAATAGTTAAAACATCAACAGTAGATTGGTGTAACTATTCTAATATCAGAGTAGAATTTGAAGAAATACTTTTAGAAATAAATGCTACCTTATTATTGATAAAGTGCTCAACTTATCCTGAAGATATCAACATACTAAATCTGTTCGCACCCAACAACATAGCTCCAAAATGATGCAGGGCATAAAACCCTCAGATTGAAAGGAGAAAGAAACAATGTCACAATAAACTTGGAAATGCCAACACACCTTTTTCAATAGACTGCAGAACACTGAACACTACAGGGTTGAAAATGACAACACAGAAAATTGCACCCAATGACAAAATTCATATTCTTTGCAAACATGGAACCTTTATGAGAATTAACTACGTGCTACCCCATAAGAAACGATATGTTTGATGTTGATGCTCCAGAGTGTGTTCTCTGAGCTGCAATCTCTGAGGGGATTTGTGTAAATTAGGGGTTGCCCTTGTGATGAGCACTGTGGGAGGGGAGGGAAATAAAAACAGGAATGGGGAGAGCATCAACTGAGTCTCAACAAGAGGGAAGCTGGCATGACCCATGAAAAGATCTGGAGTTGGGGTAAGGGGGCTTCTTATTAAACGTGGACTGTCCCTGAACGTTGTGAGGCAAATCCTGGAGAGAACAGCAAGGTGAAAGGCTGTGTGCAGGCAGTGCTTCTGGCGGTTATGGCTACTCCCTTTCACCTTAAAAGGGGACCTGCATTATAGTCCTTGGATTTTCCATGGATCTGTGCTAGAAACTGAAAAGTAGGAAAAAAGATAATAAAATTCAAGTTTCTTCAAGGTTCCTCAGCATTTCTAAATATAACCATTTTAAATTACATTTGATTATGATATGTAATAAATGCCAATGACTAATGCTCTTAATTTGAAATAGATTTAGACTCCTTGAATTTCTGTCATACATCCTGTGATTAAAGAAAGATAGCAATATACTTCTATATGTGGATATAATTTTGACACATGCATGATACAATCTTAGTTTACATTTTAAAGAAGTATGTCTTTGGTTTGAAGAATTTCACATTTTTAATGATTACTTTCTCTCTGAATACTCTGTTGTTAGGTCATTTATGCCATCCAAATGAACAGGAAAACATACTCTCTCCATCTTAAAAAACAGTAAGTGAACATTCTTTTTTCATATAGTTTTTAGTGTCTTAAATTTGTATAGTCAGTACCCTAAATTGTGACTAAACAAAAGCATGAATATTTCACTTGTTTAACATGTTATATCTTCTTCATGAATCATGTAAGACTAGAATTTCAGCCTTGATTTTGAGATTTGAAACTTAATTTTCACGCCAAATTCTGATTTAATGATGTCAATATTAGGCATGTTAGATAGATTAAGATTACTCTGTGTAACTCCTTAAAATGCAACTACAATTGTAACAATTAAGGGTATAATTTTATTTGACTATGTTTAGCTTCTTTTGTCTTCTTGTTATTTCACATATGTACATAATTTTAAGAACTTTACTTGACATTCTAGAATATTTTTTCTCATTTTGTATGTACTTTTAACATATTAAGTATTCTGTTTTCTATCTTCACTCTAGGAAATCAATATTAATAACTTTGTGCGTACTTGTCCCAATTTTCTATTTATATTTCATTTTTCTATTAAATAAAACCTACCCACAATTTTGTTTTTACGAAAGTGGAAATAGGGTGTTATTACTGGCAGGTCTTATTGATTAATGGTGCTTATTTCCTTGCTCTTTATGTAGTTCATAACTCATCCTTCAATAGATAACATTTAACAGTATGATATATATATAGTAAAATGTAGGGTTTAACACACCCTTTCAATTTGTTTTTAAATATTTTTAAGGTTTAAAGTGTTTAAACTTTGTAATTTCCAGTAGGAAAACATTATCTGAATGAATACCATAATGGCAAACCACTGTGAAATGTTACAGCTGCATTTGGGGTAGAGGGGTAGGGATTCTCTTCAAAGCACCCCAGCTTTCTTCATGAGAAGGTCAGAGGTACACTGGTTTGTATTATTGAGACATCCATTGGGCGATCCAAGTTGCTTTTCCATCAGCAAGGGCTTTATCTGTCACAAGGGCATTATGCTGGACCTCCAAATTTGGCTGACAATTTACTGATGAGATTCATAACCTTTGGGTTGCTCTGATATTTTGACATATTTGCTGGGTTCTGAGCCACATCCTGGAAGGCCACCATAGCTTCTGGATTCTGCATGGCTGCAAGAACCTCTGTATCACTAAGAATTTCATTGAGCTCAGGCATTCCTGCCATTCCAGGCATGCCTCCTCCCATTCCAGGCGTGCCTCCAGGAAAATTACCAGGCATTCCCTCAGGAAAGCCCCCTGGAAAAGAGCCATACTGAGCTCCTGATTGACTTCTGGCTTCTTCCTCTCTCTGGGCTTTCTCATGTTCTCCCCGAGCCTTCTTAACCCTTTCCATTCTTTCTTTGATCTCTCGCTCTTCCCATTTCCACTCATACTTTCTCCGACGTTCTGCAATTTTCTGGGCCCTTGGTTGAACTTCTTTCAGCATTGCAACAGCATCTTCATTATAATCCAATTTACATGCAAGGGCAAGATCACGGGCTGCTTCTTCCCAGTGGCCCAGAAGTCTGTGTGCTTTCCCTCGCCACTTGCCAGGCTGAGCGGAATCAGGATTTTTCAATAGCTCCGTCACAGCCTCGATGGCAGCATTTGGCTTCTGTGATTTGATGAAGACACTGGCTCTCTTGGCATACCGAGTGGCCAAACGAGGATTCAGCTTGATGGCATCTGTGAACAAGTCTATGGCTTTCTGTAGTTCGCCATCATTTAGGGCATCAATGGCAGCCACTTTTTTTTAATCATTTGCCTGATCCATCATCTCATTCGTTATCTCTACATTCTCATCTCCCATTTCTTGAGGGGCGTCAGTGTCTGGTTCAATCACACCCTCATTGTCGATTTCTAGATCACTTTCCTCACTGATGGTTCATCTGTCTTTAGGTCTTCCTCCACCTTCTTTCTATCTGTTTTTTCCTCCTTACTTTCTTCTGATTTAGTTTTATGAGCAGCAGGTGGTATTTTACCTCCCATGCTCTCCACCCACTCCCTCAGGAAGCGCATTTCCTCGGTGTGCAGAACTCTCGACATTTTCACAAAGTCCTGGAGTTTGCTCACTTTGCAGGGGTGCATGGTGGGAAAGCAGGAGCAGGCGGCAGGCATGGCGAAGGAGGCAGCAGGGTTGCAGGAACAGGTGCTACCTCGGCCTGACCATGTGGAAGGGGGCGGCAGCCGCGAGGCCAACAGTATGTAATATTGATAGGTAATGAGGTTATTTCCAGAAATTGTCATTTGTTTATTGAGTCCTGCAATAAACATTCTTGTATGTATATCTATAATAATCTATAATAATAAAAGCATAATATGCTAATTAGTCTGGACGTCCTTCCAGATGACCTTCCGGATGAAGCCCAGGTCCTGAGTGCCTGTCATTGGCTGGAGGAAAACCTGGATCCCAGGGGCCAGAGGGAAACTGGGGTGCCGGAAGCTGGGGGAAGGAAGGCCCACTCTTGCATGAATTTTGTGCATCAGGCCTCTAGTTTTTATATAATACACTAGAGGCCCAGTGCACAAGATTTGTGCACTGGGGAGGGGGTACCCTCAGCCCAACCTGCACCCTCTCCAATCTGGGACCCCTCGAGGGATGTCCGATGGCCAGTTTAGGCCCGACCCCTGTGGGATCGGGCCTAAACTGGCCGTTGGACATCCCTTTCACAATTCGGGACTGCTGGCTCTGATTGCCCCTAACTGCCTGTCTGATTGCCCCTAACCGCTTCTGCCTGCCAGCCGGATCACCCCCTAACCACTCTCCTGCCAGCCTGATCGATGCCTAACTGCTCCCCTGCCAGCCCGATCGCCCCCAACTGCCCTCCCCTGTGTATTCCCTCTTTATTAGATAGGGTTTTTTCTTTAGCATATTGGACACTGTACCTGCCTTGGTCTTGACAAACCAATAAAAATGTAAATACAAACTAAAATTGTCATAAAATAAACTCCTTAAATAGGAATTTCATGAGATCCTGGAAAGGTGATTGTTTCCTCCTTTTTTCCTTCTCTTTCTTTTTATTTTTTTAATTTTTTTAAAATATACATTTTATTGATTTTTTTTACAGAGAGGAAGGGAGAGGGATAGAGAGTTAGAAACATCGATGAGAGAGACACATC